AAAAAAAACTATTAACCATGATGTACACCAACCATAACATTGTAGTTAAGGTGTGAGTTAAGGAGAATATATCTTTCAAAGGATATTATGTCATTATTGTATAATGTAGCTAATGATGACAATATTCAAAAAATCTCCATTTTCATCCATTGTTTTCTGGGCATGCTGTTGATTAATGATTATTCTAGTTTCCATTTTCTATTTTGAGTCATATATTTAGGGATACTAGTACTTATGAAGTTCATAATTATGATTATAATTTTAACCATGCTCATTTGTTCAGTATCAAAGATTATATAAGTTCTACAAATATTATGATTATATTTCCTTACCTTGCATCACTTTATCTTTGAACTTGCTACATGTATTTACTCATCCATTATGTAAAACTAGAGGGAAATTTTCCTGAATCTTGTTGACCTAATCAAGAGAAGGATGTTAATCAAGAATGAATAGAAGGCCAGAATGAAGAAAAGAGGAACAACGAGAATTTCTATTGATAATTTGTAACTGTTTGACTTTATATGTTCATTTCAGACATGATGCAATAATCTTTAAGTAGGTATGCATAAGGTATTGTTTTGAAAATGTTTATGTTTTATGTTTTTAATCTAATTCTCTTCCTTTTTCTTTATTTAAGTTCTAGATATCCTATATAAACCCATCATTTTGGTACTGCTACCACTTCCCAATTAAACTTCATTATCGAAACAAATAGAAAAATAAAGAAAAACTTTTAGCTTCGTTTTAATCCTTTCCTCTCCTTCACAATATGAAATTCAGTTTTAATTACTGATCATTTATTTTTATATACCTCCTCTAAAATTTCACCAGGTAATAAAACCTAGCAGGAAGATTTTCATTTTACAGACTTATTAAAAGGGAAGAGATAATATCCAAATTAAGTTACTATTATTTTTTATTGTGAGGATATGACTTTTGAATTCTCGTGCATGTCTGGGTAGCCATGAAAATATTATTTCAGAGGCAATTGCTGCTCAAACAGAGATAAAATCTTGGCCCCCAATGTGAATCGCGCTGCTCCTCATGATTGAAGATCAAGGCATCTCGGCCTGGATTGAAACCCGGGATTTAATCCAGGGTTCCGAAGCACTCCTCTATCTCAGATTGTCCAAAAAAGAAGCAACCTCTTTGAGTCACCAATTCAAACAGGCAATTATAGAGCAGCTCGAATTTCAACACAAGCTAGAAAAGCAAATAGTGAAATTCAACAAACAATTTTAAAATTTGCCATAAAAACAGCACGCGCATTTTTTATGGTGGAATCAAACTTTATGCATTTCAAAGGGAAGAAGAATAGTTCAACGTTGCCCATCGAAATTTGAAGTACAAATCAAGCATAATGAGATGTTAATTACCAACTCTCTTTCTCCTATATTTAAGCACTATTTTTCTTAATATCTACCTCATCGGTGTCAAATATTGCTTCTCGAACAGAAAGTAATTAAGGTTGTTGTTCAGGATCTTGGAGGTGGGAAGAATTGCGTACCAGCTATGAAAGTGTTGAGCGGAGCTGGGTATAAAGAAGGATCAAGAAAAGGCGAAGAACCACCGCCACCGCCACCAGCGGCGGAGGTTGTGGCGGCAGAGTTGGCCGTTCCAGTTATTAAATTAAGTTGTTGAACTCCTGCACTGACACTTCCACCACCAGATGAGTTGTCTCCGGCGATGTACTGGCTTTCAAGGCCTTGATCGTATAGAATTCCCTTAAATACATGTCCACTAATGTTCACTGCCGTCTGATATGCATACTGATCCTCAGCATCGTCAATGGCGCTTACTCTAACGCAGCGAAAAACCGCCTCTGAATTCACTTCCGAAGGGAAATTCCCAAGTTGTAACCCTACAAACATCAGACACAAGTAAGGTCATATGATCTAACATTATTTAAAAAACATTGTTAATATAAAAAATACAAATACAAAAAGAAAAAAGAAAAAAAAAAAAAAAGTTGACAAAATATCACTGAGGTAGCGTAGGGTTGGGGGGAATAGGGTCTTCCTTGTCAGGAATACCTAAAAATAGTGTTTCAAAAGAAAAGGGAAATGGAAAAGGAAAAAGGAAAAAGGAAAAAGGAAAAAGGAAAGCCTGATAATGGGTTTTGGTTTTTACTATGGAGGTCGATTTCAACTTTAAACGATGTCTAATTTAGTTGAGTTTACCTGATTCATTAGTGTTTATTCTAGTGCAAACAAGAGAGGAAGAAGCATTTGGATTGTCTCTTTGTCTTTTTGCAGTATCTCTTTGTTCTTGCAAAGCAGAAAGCTGTTGATGTCTCTCTCTTCTTTTGGCAGCAGGAACCCAAGTGCTCTTAACATGAGTTTGGCACTGAAACCCTCGGCTCTTACAGCAAGTTCTACATCTCATATAAGAACAATCTTTCTTAGCTTGATTCCCACAATCCTGGCAGCTAATTCCACCAACACCACCTCCGCCGCCGCTCCTCATCATAGGAAATCCCGACCTCGGAGAATCGTTCGAGATTTCGAAGCCGGTGCGACTCGGCCCAACTCCAACGGCTAATCCTCCGGCCGATGCATAGAGATCTTGAAGCGAGTTCTCGTTGGGATGGCGATGGAGGAAATGTTGATTTTCTTGCTGATTTGGATGGTTCTGCCAAAGTTGGAAACTTTTATATGGTATGTCTTCATTTCTGAACAAAAACCAGCTTTCTGGGTTGATTTCTGACGGTGGGTTGTTGTGGTTGCTACTGCTTTCTCGTTCTTGATTGCTTCTATTGGATCCGCCCCCGCCACCACCACCACCACCACCTCCGCCTAGTGAGAAAAAGCCAGCCATGTTGACGCCAATTCTAATCCTTTTCTAGACTTCAATTTGAGACTGACAATCCATAACATAACCGCCAAACAGAGATGAAAATGACCCCAAGCATAATAAGGCACGCCTTAATTTCTCCGGGTACTGTTTTGATTTCTTGAATTGTGGGCATAGGAGTGTATATAAATCAATTCTGTGGCAGTGTCGACGCAGAATTACAGTTCTGCCACGCCGCCATTACCGTGGCTTCTAAAAGCATTCTGCTTTCTCTTTGTAACCACCAATTTAAGTCTGTCTTACCCTCAGAACAGAAAGAACCTTTCGATCATCGCTTCTATTCCATTTATTATTACACACACTTACACACAGACTCGCTCACTCTTTCTCTCTCTACATCATATCAACTTGAAGAGATGAAATCCAAAGGTGTTTGGACATCTGCATGCAGATTAACGGCTATGACTACTGCCACGTAGCTTTTTCTCCTTTGCTACTTTATGTCGCTGCCCATAAATTAACTAATTAATCTTGATCCCGAGCTCAATTTTGGAATAATTGCATTATACATCCCCAAGTTAATTTCCATCCGTGTTTTAAAAAGAGTAAAGTGGATCTATCATGAAAGTCAAATTTCAAGCTAGACAGGCTAAGACTCAAAAAATAAATAAATAAATAAATAAATAAATAAATAAAAATATATATATATATATATATTGCTTAATTTATATTAAGCACCGATAATATGATACATCATTTAATTAGTGAATGATTAAATATATGAAACATATCATTAACTTATTAATCAATTAAATGACATACCATGTCACCGGAGCTTAGTATTAGCTAAACACCAATATTTAGAAAATCATTTTCGTGTGTGTGTGTATATATATGTATTCTTATTTTTAATGTTATTTTAAATTTGTAATCATTCTAAATTTATTTAATAATTAAAAATCATACATATCAAACATCTAAATTGATAAAATACTATAGTTACTTAATAGTTTCGATAATTAGTCAATTATGCAATTTTTAAGCTTTCGAAATGCAAAAATCAAACTATTTTTTCCATAATTTCAGCTTTCAACTAGACAAGTCCTACTTAGCCTCTGTTTGTCTAAGGGCATCTCCAACCACAACACCATTGCACCATTTTTTGGTGCAAAATTGCTCCAATCCAACACCAAATTTTGCACCATTTTGGTGCAAAATGGTGCAAAGTGTAAAATGTCCATTTTGCCCTTATTTAATATTTTCCAAATAAATTTGTTGAGGGTATTTATATAATTTGTGCTATATATTTTTTAGTACAATAAATTATTATTATTTTTTATTAATATTAATATTATTTGTGTTTAAAATAAATTTTAAATGTAAAACATAATAATCAATTAATTAATTAAAAGACGAAAATAATTTAAAATACATCAAACACGATTATTTATTAAAGTTAACACGAAATATATTAAATACCAATTTATGTTCTATGTTTATTAATTGTATTTTTATTAATTGGTCTATGTTTTTTATATTTATTAATGAATTTAATCTTTTTCGTAATTTAACGTAATTATTTATTTAGTAATTTATGTATTTATGAAATAATTAAATAAATAATATTTCAAATAAGTAGATTATAAAGAATAAAAAAGGGAATAAATTGGTTAAATATTGTTAATGTAATGTAATTTTTGGTGTAATGGTTGGAGATAAATTTTAATTTGGTGCAAGATTGGAGATGGCCTAATATTCTCTGAAAACTCTCTTTCTTTTGCTAAAATTATTTTTCAACCAAATATTCTCACAATAAAAATATTTTTCATATAAATTCAAAAAAATTTCTTACTTTTAACTACATTTTCTCCAAAAAAAAATAAAATCATTATTCCAAAATTAATTTTCCAAAAATAAAAACTCCTTTCTCATTAACTTATTTAACTTTTATGAAGTAAGCTGTGTGAAAGTTAATCAACAACTAAACAATGTTTTGGATGATGAGTTTTGATTATGCAATTACAATGAAAAGATGAAGATCAGTTTGTAAAACTTGTAAAAGATGATTATGGTATAATAGAATAAGGATCAATAAAGAATTTTCATCTGTCGTATTTTGCATAAATAATTTTAGATTAACTACAAGTTTGAATTATAATGTAGAAATAAATCTAGGGTCACAATTATTTTCAAATGCTATGATGCTTTGACAATTAAGAGTATCTCCAAAACACTCTTTTGAATATGATATGCTTTTAATTTAAAAGATTTAACCCTTAAAATCATGTTTCATAAATTAACATTTTAATTTAAAGAGTGGGTTTAGTTTTCTAAATTTGGAGAGTCAAACTCACTCTCTATAATTATATACATTCAAAATATTTCAATTTTTGATGTATAAAAATAATCTAGATAGAAGCAAATTAAAATAAAAGATAGGGAAAAAAATAAATATTTTTTTAAAGTAATAAAATTAAGTGCTAAATAAAAAAAATTTGTTAGAATACTTTAAAATTTTAACTTTCTGAATTTATAAATTCCCTCCAAATGATAGAATATACTCTTAAAAAATAGGGATTTCTTTGAAGATGCTCTAAATTCTAAATAATTTCACCACCCGACTCATGTTAGAAATGGATCCTTAAATTTGAGACTTTTTTTCAATATTTGGTTTCTTCGAGGGTGACTAGACGAGATTTAAGTTTAAAACAAGCATTTTCTTATATTTAATACTCTATCCGTCTCATTTATATAGGTTGATTTTGTTTTCATAAGGATTAAGGAATCTTATCTACTATTATCGAAAAAGTAATTTTTATCAATAACTTTACTAGTCTACCCATATTTATATTTGTACAATTTTAAAATTAAGTGAAAAAATTGGTTATAGCTAGGAAAATTAAATAAGGATATATTAGTAAATGAAAAAAATAAAATATTCTCAATAAAGAAATTAGACTATATAACTGGGACGGAAAAAAAAAAAAAAAGAAGATAGTGTATATAAATGGGATGGAGGGAAAAAGTTTTAATCATTTGAAATTTTATTTAATAATTAAAATAATATATATCAAACATCTAAAATTATAAGATACTACATTTACTTAATAATTTAATTATACAATTTTTAAGTTTTTGATATGCAAAAATTAGACTTTTTCATGGTTTCAACTTTCAACTTTCAACTAAACAACCCTACTTGAAATTTTCTAAGGTGTTTTTATTTTTGACTTTTATATAGATAAAGTCAATTAAAATTTTGAAATTAAGGTTAATTAATAGGCTTTTAAAAAAATTAAGAAAAATTAATAAAACACCACTAGGCACTCATTGCTAAGCACCTCGCGCCTAGATGAATTATGTAGAACACTGTCATTACTACAATGATCAATGTTGAGCTCGTAGGTGCGAAATGAGCCGCTGTTTGTGAGCATTTTATAAGTTAATTGAAATTCTGATCATTAGCAAACCTATACCATCGTCATCGAGCAATTCTAATACGAAAAACAAGAATTTAATCTTAGTCATGAATGACAAGCTCACAAAAACATGAGAGCACAAATTGTTGAACAAGCATAAATACTTTTATCTATTTTAATATGCTATTCCACACCATCAAAACCACTATTGAAACACACGAAAATGAGAATGCTAAATCTTGTGAAATTAACATCACAAATCGATGAATAACGACACATGGCACGACGAATAAAAGGTGAAAATGTAACAAATTCAGTTAGAAATTCACTAATCAATGATCGCCATGCATCGCTAAAAAAGGATTGGATTACCCTCTTGATTTTATCTGATATTTATAAATAGTCATAAATTCAAGCAAATTTGGAAATAGAAAAAAATTGAATATACGCTATTTTCAAATAGTCAATTCTCTCTCAAACTCTTATTTTCAACAAATTTCATATGAGTTTAGGGAGAGAAAAACCTTGACTAGATTAAAAAAAAAAATTGTTAGCCTCAATTTTGAGGTCAACAATATACGTTTTATTAAGTTTTTCCTTGAATCATTCCCTATTAAATTCTATTACTTTGAATATAGAATACCTCGATCAGATTCCTACTAGCCAAAACTCAACGATAGTGATCATTTACACCTTCCCCTAGAAATGGAATGAGTGAGGTGAAAATGTATGTTGTGCCACCATAAAATGAGGTTGAAGAAAATATAAGGTGCCATTATCAATACATAACGTTTGACATTAGTCGAATGTCATTTTGATAAACAAACCTAATACACAATTCAATAGGAGTGAAGTTAGGAGGGACAACAAAATTTCTACTCGACTGATACGTAGGAAAAAACTTTACCGTTAAAAGAAAAAAAAAATTGCTTGAGGGCAAGCCTTTGCCCTACAATCCTACTAAAATCTTAAACTTTTCATATGTTTAACCATGTTTAATTTGTAGGGCGATCGAATCAAATTATACAAGATATATTGTACAAATTAATTAGGGCTTGTATGAAATTAAACCAATTTATAATAATTGAATAATTTTTTGCATTATTAACAATTGGTAAGTGATATGACAATCCCAATTAGAGTGATTTTTAGGGGACCATTTTGGTTAGGAAGGCATCTTCTTACGAATAATTTAAACTTTATTAATTGAGGGGTTGACTATAATATTAAAGGGCATATAGGCCATTTAATACAGTGATTAGTAGTTAACTCGTATACGGACCCCGCCGGCCTCAAACTCCGCCGTATATGACCTACTATAGGGATACCTATTTGTTAAATTTGCAATTTGGTCCCTCATCTTTTGAATAAATTACAGTCACTGAAGATATCATTATTTTATGCCCACTTGCAGTATCATTGAATACTCTTGGATCACACGGAATTTTATAGGCATGTTGGAATAGATGCCTTGATGCACGAGAGCGCGAGAATTTAGACCTTGTCCGAGCCTATTTTTTATATATATATATAAAAAAAAGAGTTTTAGGATAATATTTTTGGGAGAATATATAATTGAAAAATAATGAAGAGTTTTGATTTATATATAATATTATTTTGTTGGAGAATTTGTAATTAAAAATAAGAACGAGAGAAAAATGTATTTTAGGATTAATGGAGTCCAAACATGGACTTTCTTTCAAAACTCTTTTTTTATTATATTCATTTTCAATCACGTATTCTCAATAAAATATTCTTTACATAAAAAAAAAATTCCATATTTTTTAACCACTCATTATTAAAAAAATTACTTTTTTAAAAATTGATTCTTTAACAAAAATTGTTGTCAAACAGGGGCTTAGGGTTTACCAATAAGAAGTTTAATCACATACTTCTAAGGTTTTGTTTACCAATACTCTTAGGTAATTTATATTCTATCCGCCTATAAAAATAGACTTATTTTCCTTTTCGTCTTTTCCAAATTAATAGCTATTTTCCTCCTTAATTTTCTAATATAGCACTATTTAATATTTTTTTAATTTTATTTAAATCGTTATTTAATGTAAAAATATATTA